TCAGCTCAGGCACACTGCACAGCACAGCCATCCAAAGCAAAGTGATTACAGTGAAACATCCCCGCCCCCCAGGAAAACACTCCCAGCACACAGGTAACCCTGTGATCACCCCTCATATTAACCCCTTCCAGCCCAGTGCCATTAGAACTTTGTCAGTGCTTTTTTTAGCACTGATCACTGTATTGGTGTCACTGGGGAGTCTCCGCAGTCTTGCTATAAATTGCTAGTCGCTGTCATTACTAGTATAAAAAATCCCAGTATATATACTGCCGTTTATAAATGCTACAACTTTCACGTAAGCCAATAATTTACACGTATTGGGATTTTTTTTTAGCAAAGACATGTCGCAGAATACATTTTGGCCTAAATTTATGACGAAATTTGATTTTTAAATTTTTTTTACTGGACATGTTTAATAGCAAAAAGTAAAAAAATATTGTGTTTTTCTCAAAATTTTCAGTCTTTTTTTTTAAAGAACAAAAAATGTAAAACACAGAGATGATCAAATACCACTGAAAGAAAGCTCAATTTGTGGGAAAAAAAGGACGTAAATTTAATTTGGGTGCAGCGTTGCATGACCGCACAATTGTCAGTTAACCTCCCTGACGGTATTCCCGAGTGTAGCTCGGGGTAACATTTCAGTACCCAAAAGCGGTAACCCCGAGCTACACTCGGGCTTACCATGCGGCGCTGCTCCGGCAAGTGTTCTTCACTTACCTTACCCTGCGCTCCCACGATGTGTCCCCTGCAGCGTCCCCGGCCATCTCCTCCGGCCGATGCCGGCATCCGGCTTCTGTGTCCTGTCCCTGTGACGTCGGGACGTACGGGCGCCACCGCCGCCGCGGCGGGAAATTTAAAAATTTTATAAAATGTCATTTTTTTTTTTTTTTACATTTTACACAGTAAAACATTGCTGTTTCAACCTATTTCACATACATATTGTCCCTAATGCTTTGTCCTGTGCCCTGCCTGCATTTTGTCTGTTCTTTCTGCCTGGAAACTGAGAAATGTCCATGGCGTCCAAAACGTGTCCCTTTAGGTCAAAAGCGGTTTAGATCAGCTAGAGAACAGCGATAGTAAATCAGAACCACTTGCAGAATTGAGTGATAATGATTCGTGGGGGAAATTCGTCATCAGAAACTGAAAACGATTTTGCGACTGAGCTCAGCAATGTGCGAACTTGGCGCTCTATTTCACATTTCAGTGTTTTTGGTTTGATTATATTATTGAATTAAATTTTTTATTATTTTTATATTATTTTTATGATTATTTATTAAATTATAATTTATGATTTTGTGTTTCAAATTTTATCATACCCGGGATGTTTACTAGACTCTTGTTCGGACAGATTTCAGTGAGTTTTTCCTAAAAATTACAGCCTACAATAAAAAAAATACATATTTCCATGCAAAAAAAATGGTACCGCTTTCAGCACCAAAAATCTGAAATAATCATACCGCCAGGGAGGTTAAAATAACGCAGCACCATATCGCAAAACATAGCCTGGTCAGGAAGGGGGGTAAATTCTCAGGAGGGCAAATATTGCTTTTTTATATAATAGAAGTTTTCATATGGTCAATCTATCAATGACCACAGAAACTCATTAACCAGAAATGTTTTTAAAACTTTATCATGCCTTTTCATTAAGATAATAATGCTATGACAGTGTTATATTATATTGTATGAATTTATTGTATCTTTAATAACCCCTTAACTATTTCCATTGAAAAATAATTAACTATTTTCCTGGAAAATGGAAAAGAAATAATTCTGGTATTTTAAAACAGCACCAAGTCTATTATTTTCTTCATGCATTTAGTTTATTCTGACTATGCACTGCCTGTGTGCATTTTATATTCTCTCTTAAGTATAGTTTAGTAGAGAATGTAAAAGCCATACAGAATTTTGTTCCATTAAGGCAGTGGATAGTGAGATTAAACTAAATGCATGAAGAAAAATAGACTTCCTGCTTTTTAAACTAGAAAGAAGAGAAAAGGGGACATGTGTGAATACATTAACCGCTTCCACACAGCCCTATAGCAGAAATACTGCTACAGGGTGTGCAAAATCACCTATATATAAGTGATTTTGAAGTTCCAGGTAGGGGGCGCGCATACCCTACCCGCACAGCCATTCGCGAACTCAACTGTCATTCACCGAGTCCCAGCTGGTGATTCCCCGCTGGAACCTAGTGATATTCGAGAATTACCAAAGGGGGAAAGACCTGCGTATAAACAACACAGTTCTCTTCCCTGTCAGCTCCTGCACACTGCTTTGTATGGCTCTGCATAACAGAGCCATAAAAAGCAGTGTGCTTACAGTGGAAAATACTCACACAGCACACTGTGAAACAGCACACAGTTAACCCTTTGATCGCCCCACATAACATTAGTACAGTGTCAGTGCTTTTTATTAGCACTGATCTCTGTATTGGTGTCACCGGGGATGTCAGTGACACCAAGTCAGTTCCCCCCAGTGTCAGAATGCCTACCGCAGTCCCGTTACAAGTTGCTGATCGCCGCCATTACTAGTAAAAAATGTTTTTTTTTTTTTTCATTCCAGTATATATACCGCCATTTGTAGATGCTATAACTTTCACGTAAACCAATTAATTTACACATACTTGGTTTTTGTTTTAGCAAAGACATGTAGCAGAATACATTTTGGCCTAAAATTATGCCGAAATTTGATTTTTTTAATCTTTTTTACTGGACATGTTTAATAGCAAAACGTCAAAAATATAGTTTTTTTTCCTCAAAATTGCGCAAAAAATAAAAACCGCACTGGGGATCAAATACCGCTGAAAGAAAATTCTTATTTGTGGGAAAAAAAGCAACGTAAATTTCATTTGAGTGCAGCGTTGCATGACCGCACAATTGTCAGTTAAAGTAACACAGCACTGTATCGTAAAAAATGACCTGGTCAGGGAGGGCGGTAAATCCTCTGGAGGGCAAGTGGTTAAAGCGGGAGCATCACCCAAACTTTTCTTTCTGTTTTGACTACAGTAGGGAGGGGTATGCATTTACTGTCCTTTTACTATTAGAGAAATGTGCCTTTACATCTTGTTCCAGACAGGCAACAGGAATTTAGCTGAAATCTCCCAGGGAAATTCTTTTCTAAGACAGTTGTCCTTGGAAAAGGTGTTCCTATTTCTTATGAAATCATTTTCTATTATGTATTTATTAGTATGTATTTTTACTATTTATTTATAGTATTATTATGTATTATTTATTTATTAATATGTATTTTTGCTATGTATTATTAGTATTATTAATTATTATGTATTCTTTATTTATTAGTATGTATTTTTACTTATTATTTATTATTAGTATTATTATTATTGTATTATTATTATTATGTATTATTATTTATTATTAGTATTATTATGTATTATTTATTTATTTTTATTATTATATAATATATGCTAATATATAACATTTCATTGTGTCTCTTGTTCTGTGGACAGCTCTAAAATGTTGGCTTTCCCTTCACTTTCCCTCTCGGAGACAATGGTCATCACTACAAATAGAGTGGTGATTCTGCCCAATGGGGACACAGAAAGCAATACATTTCTTGACAGAGGGTCTAATAATCCCCAATTCTATCCGAAGATAAAAACAAAGTTTGTTTTAGAGATGCACGTTAAGAGTAGAAATAAGGTTCAGTGGGGAAGCATTTTTATTAGGAAGCTAAGATCAAGAACACTGGAACATGACCTCAAACTAGCCAGAGGAAAGCTCAAGACTAGCCTTAGAAAGTATTATTTTACAGAAAGAGTAGGTCATTCTTGAAGCAGACCCACAGCACAGCAAAAGGTGAAAGAAAAACAACAAAAAAATGAACAAAGAACAGATTCAGTGGACCACTTGGTCTTTTTCCGCCACACTCTTCTATGTTTCTTCTAGTGTCTTTTGTAGATTATGTCAATATCCGTATCTTCTAATTCATTGGTGATAGATCACTGCAGAGTTTTATAGAGCACAGTTAAAGAAAAACAATCTGCACATGATTTAAATGCCTGTAAAATGTAAGTGGGGTCTGGCTATAAAGGAATGTGTGTGTGAGCAGATATGAGAATGACACTTGGCATTTCTTCCCTTGTAATATGCACAGGGTATTCATTTCCAGGTACACTGCCATGTTTGGAGAGACTGAAACCAGAGATGGTGTCAGACATGCCTGTAGATAGTGATGGATGATTGTGGGATGGATTGTAAGGATTGTGTGAGGCCCATGTTTTAGTTTACTGAGAACCTCATCCTTGAAGAAGTCTGTTCATCCATGAAGTTTTTTTTTTTAAAAAAACAATAAATGTAACTACATTTGACTTGATATCATCTTCTTGCAGTGTCTTGTACACCAGTACTAAGCTTGAGAAACCAAAGAGCAAGATCGGGGGCCAATCAGGCATGATTCATGCACATTACATAGTTACATAGTTAGTCTGGCTGAAAAAAGACAAAAGTCCATCCAGTTCAACCATTAACCACTAGCCTACAGGGCACTTATACCCCCTTCCTGCCCAGGCCAATTTCCAGCTTTCAGTGCTGTTGCATTTTGAATGACAATTGCGCGGTCATGCAACACTGTACCCATATGAAATTTCTATAATTTTTTTGAGACAGATAGAGCTTTCTTTTGGTGGTATTTAATCACCTCTGGGATTTTTTATTTTTTTTAAACAAACCAAAAACCACTGAAAATTTAAAAAAAAACAATTTTTTTTCTTAGTTTTTGTTATACAATTTTGTAAATATGTGATTTTTCTTCTTCACTGATGTGCGCTAATGAGGCTGCAGTGATGGGCACTGATAGGCTGCACTGATGGACACTGATAGGTAGCACTGATGGGCACTGATGAAGAGGTACTGGTAGGTTGCACTGATGGGCATTGACAGGCATCACTGATGGGCACTGAAAGGCAGCACTGATACATGACACTGATACATGACACTGATATATGGCACTGATAGGCAGCACTGACTGGCACTGTTAGGCAGCACTGACTGGCACTGTTAGGCGGGCACTGACTGGCACTGTTAGGCGGCACTGACTGGCAGTGATAGGGGGCACTGACTGGCACTGATGCGCACTGATAGGCGACACTGACTGGCACTGATAGGTGGCACTGATTGGCAGCACTGATAGGTGGCACTGATTGGCATTGATAGGTGGCACTGACTGGCACTGATGGGTGACATTAAAAGGCAGCTCAGATGGGCACTGATATGTGGCATTGATGTGCACTGGTATGCACTGATATGTGGCATTGATGTGGCACTCATGGGCACCGGCACGTGGCACTAATGAGCACTGACAGGTGGCACTTCTGGGGCCACACTGATCATCAGGGCACACTGATCATCAGTGCCCTGATGATCAGTGTACATGTCCCCTCCATGGAAAGCCGATTACCGGCTCTCCTTTCCTCTCGAGCTGTCAGCGTGACAGCTCGAGAGGAGAGAAATGCCGATAACCGGCATTTCCGTGTTTACATGTGATCAGCTGTGATTGGACACAGCTGATCACATGACCGAGCCGACATCTTCGGTTCTTTCCGTGATCCGCTGTGTCCGAGGGACACAGCGCACCAGCGATCGCCGCTCTGTGCGCTCCCTGAGTACAGTGAGAATGGTAGGATGTCATATGACGTCCTATCAGAATGAGAGAACCACCTTGCGCCCGTCATTGTACTATAGGGTGGGCGGAAGATGGTTAAAAAGCAAAAAAAAAGTTATAATCCTACACCCACAGTTGATCCAGAGGAAGGCAAAAAAAAAACCCAGCAAAGCATGATCCAATTTGCTTCTACAGGGAAAATAAAATTGAGGGAGTCTATTCCACATTTTCACAGCTCTCTCACTGTGAAGAAACCTTTCCGTATTTGGAAATTACATTTCTTTTCCTCCAGACGTAAAGAGCGCCCTCTTGTCCTCTGTGATGACCTCAAGGTGAATAACTCTACACCGAGTTCACTATATGAACCACTGATGTATTTATACATGTTGATCATATCCCCCCTTAATCTCCTCTTCTCAAGAGAGAATAAATTCAGTTCCTCTAATCTTTCCTCATAGCTGAGCTCCTCCATGCCTCTTATCAGTTTGGCTTCCCTTCTCTGTACTTTCTCCAGTTCCCCAATACTTTTTGTGAATTGGTGCCCAAAACTGAACTGCATATTCCAGATGAGGTGTTACTAATGATTTGTACCGGGGGTAATATGATAGCTCTTTGCTCTCTTTAGAAACCGCAGTTTGGGGCAGCACAGTGGCTAAATGGTTAGCACTTTCGCCTGGCAGCACTTGGGTCATCGGCTTGAATCCCAACCATGGCACCACCTGCCTGGAGTTTGCATGTTTTCCCTGTGCCTGCGTGGGTTTCCTTCAGGTTCTCTGGTTTCCTCCCACACTCCAAAGACATTCTGGTAAGTTAATTGGCTCCTGTCTAAATTGTCCCTAGTATATGTATGTATGGATGTGAGCTAGGGACCTTAGATTGTACACCCCTTGAGGGTTAGGGACTGATGTGAATGTACAATATATATGTAAAAGCTTTACGATCCCTTCTTCAGCAAGAGTCTCGCAGACATAGGGGCACCGCTAATTGGGGTTTATAGCCATGACACCCTCCCAGTGAGTTTGCTGCCTGTGATCTCTGTCATCATCCAGACCACATGTCACTCAACAGAGAGGGAGGGGGGATAAGGAAAGCTGATTTGGGCGTAGAAATAATACAAGATGGAATATCCTTTGCCAAAATGGAGGTTCGCAACCATCTCTGTGTACACATTTGCTACAACTTCCAACAAAAATTCTTTGTTGGAAGAATATGGGCAAATGGTTGACATATGCTTTTCCCATGCTCCCCCCAGCTAGTCTGGGTTTATGACGCTGTATGGTATTGGCGTTCCCGAATCCCTGCTTCTGGTCTTGTTTTCTTCTTCCTTCTTTACTTTTTTTTTCCTCTTTCTTTTTTGTTTGATTATGTGAGGCGATAGATATTTGCCTTTGGCTGGAAATTTTTGTTGGTATTATATCACTTTTTCTGTATTTTATGTGCTATTGATAGCCCCTACATGGGCGCGCCTCTTGCATTGTTGGAGCTACAGTACTGATTTCTTAATTTTGTTATGTACCATTGATAACCCCTGCGTGGGCGTTTCTTTTGCTCTAATCCTTCTTGTTAAATTGTTTATAAAAGTTAATAAAAACCATTAAAATACAAAGTTTGGAGATAGTATTCTACTAGCAAGTTGGGGCCCTTTAAAGGTGAAGAGTGATGAAGAATGACAGAGTCAGACCTGCAGACAGAAATATTGACGTAGCAAAGCAAAGATTTCTCAGTTGACTTGGGTATATACAGTTGTGTTCAAAATAATAGCAGTGTGTTGAAAAAAGTGAATAAAACTCAAAATCCTTCTAATAGCTTTTATTTCCATACACACAAATGCATTGGGAACACTACACATTATATTCCAAATCAAAACATGAAGAAAAATAGATCAAATTTGTGTTGTTCCTCTAAAAAAATTGAAGAAAAGTGAATATTAGACTGTTCAAAAAAATAGCAGTGTTTATATTCTTCTTTACAAAGTCAAACATTCACTATATAAACTGAAAAATATTTGAAGATTTTGCTTTCCTTTGAATCACTTAATGAATATTTAGTTGTATAAGCACTGTTTCTGAGAACTGCTGTACATCTGTGTTGCATGGAGTCAACCAACTTCTGGCACCTGTGAACAGGTATTCCAGCCCAGGATGATTGGACTACATTCCACAGTTCTTCTCTATTTCTTGATTTTGCCTCAGAAACTGCATTTTTGATGTCACCCCACAAGTTTTCTATTGGATTAAGATCTGGGGATTGGGCTGGCCACTCCATAACGTCAATCTTGTTGGTCTGGAACCAAGATGTTGCACGTTTACTGGTGTGTTTGGGGTCGTTGTCTTGTTGGAACACCCATTCCAAGGGCATTTCCTCTTCAGCATAAGGCAGCATGACCTCTTCAAGTATTCTGATGTATTCAAACTGATCCATGATCCCTGGTATGCGATAAATAGGCCCAACACCGTAGTATGAGAAACATCCCCATATCATGATGCTTGCGCAACCATGTTTCACTGTCTTCACAGTGTACTGTGGCTTGAATTCAGTGTTTGGGGGTCGTCTGACAAACTGTCTCCAGCCACTAGACCCAAAAAGAACAATCTTACTTTCATCAGTCCACAAAATGTTGCGCCATTTCTCTTTAGGCCAGTCAATGTGCTCTTTGGCAAATTGTAACCTCTTCAGCACATGTCTTTTTTTCAACAGTGGGACTTTGCGGGGACTTCTTGCAGATAGCTTGGCTTCACATAGGCGTCTTCTATTTGTAACAGTACTCACAGGTAACTTTAGACCTTCTTTGATCTTCCTGGAGCTGATTGTTGGCTGAGTCCTTGCCATTATGGCTATTCTTCTATCCATTCAAATGGTAGTAGTTTTTTTCGCTTTCTTCCACGTCTTTCAGGTTTTGGTTGCCATTTTAAAGCATTTGCGATCTTTTTAGCTGAGCAGCCTATCATTTTCTGCACTTTATATGTTTTACCCTCTCCAATCAACTTTTAATCAAGGTACACTGTTCTTCTGAACAATGTCTGGAAAAACAACCCATTTTCCTCAGAATTTCAGAGAGAAATGCACTGTAACCAGCATGTACAACATTTGCTGCCTTCCTTCCTTAAATAAGGGCAATAATTGCCACCTGTTTTTCAAAGAATGAATGACCTCACTAATAGAACTCCACACTGCTATTATTTTGAACATGCCCCTTTCAATTAGTGATTCGATTAGTGATTCAATTACACAGAATCAGCAGCATGCATGTCATGACTGTTGGGTCTGTTGGATTTCTATTTCTCTACTACACCTGCTAGTAAATTATTTGCCATGTAGAAATATCATTTCTACCAAAAACAGTGATTGATTAGGTTAGTGATTTCTGACTGCTATTATTTTGAACACAACTGTAAGTGTCTGCTAGCAGTCTTTATACAATTGGGTAAGACAGAAGGGTGGGCAGCTGCCCCCTTGCCAATCCTGGTACAGATGTGGTCTCCGGCACTACATGATGAGCCTCTATATCTCTGCAGAAGGAGCAACAGTCATACAGCAGGCTGGTAGTGCACTGACAGCCATGGCGGATGATGCTGTGAAGGGCTCTGAGGATCTCTGGATTGTGGAGAACCACTGTGAACACTCACTGTGATAATCTACGGAGCAGCTGTGCAGGTGAATGGGCTGTGTTTTACTATCACGGGCTCAACCAATTAGGCCCATGCAACTGGATGCAGAATGGTAGCCTTCAACTGTCCTTTGAAGCAGTCAAATATATTAGATCAGCTTTCTGAGATTTGTAGTTTGAAAGGGGCTCTAAAATACAGTGAGGGTTGGCTACAATACCACAGTTCTGTAGATCCTCTGCTCTGGTACAAGAAGAACAGCTCCCGTCCTCTATAGATAGAAAGTGATGTAACAGTCTGGGTCCCGGGCATTAAGAAGGAACTAACTAGTCTATCGTTCAGTTTGACAATGTCCCTTTGATTCCATTTTGTAGTAGAGAGCACCTGACTACACTAACAAGGGACATACTATTAGGAGTGAGCAGAGATGACCTAATCAGTCTGCTGCTGCTTCCTCAATGTCCTGCCACAGACTGGGGATGGAGAGAGGACCCCTTCAACTATACCAGAGAAAGTGGTGTTATCCACCTGATTCTGTTGTGCAACACCTGTGTTTGTTCTCAGTTCTTGAACCCTGCTAGCAAACTGAATTGTAGTCAAGTTAACTGGCACATACTGATGCTGCTAAATTTAGTCTGGGCATTTAAGCTTTATTGACCTATCATCACCTAAGGTTTAAAGCAATACTAAAATCTTGTTTGTTTTTTTTTCTTTCTTAAAAATAACAAAACATTTTATACTTGCCTGCTCTGTGTAATGGTTATGCATAGAGCAGCCCGGATCTTTCTCTTCTCGGGTCCCTGGTGCTCCTGGCCCCTCCCTCCTGTCGGGTGCCCCCATAGCAAACAGCTTGCTATGGGGGCAACCAAGCAGGCACGCTCCTGAGCCACGGCTCTGCATGGCCATTTACACACAGAGCTGTGGTTCAACCTTGCCCTCTTCCTCTGCTGATTGGCTCACTGACTGTGATTGACAACAATGGTAGCCAATGGCTCCCGCTGCTGCCTCAGCCAATCAGGAGGGAGAGTCCCTGGAGAACCGAGGTTCTCGCGGATATCACTGGATCAAGAGAGGGCTCAGGTAAGTGTTGGGGGGGAGCTGCTACACACAGAACGTTTTTACCTTCATGCATAAGGTAAAAAAACCTTAAAACTTTATAACCACTTTAAAGACCAAAAATATTTAATTTCATTTTAGATGGAGCAAGGAAGGTTTAGAGCCTACTTCAAAACTTTACTGCCATGTGTCCCTGTGTCCCTCTCACTTTCTCTCAGGGCTCTTGCTGTGTCCCAAGGACATCTACACCATCTACAGTGCCTTGAAAAAGTATTCATACCCCTTGAAATTTTCCACATTTTGTCATGTTACAACCAAAAACATGAATGT